GGGAAAGGACTTCTTTCTAGGCGTGGGAATCGGCTATCTAGCGTGAAGCATAGAATATTTGTGAATAGGATGCACTCAATATTTCACTGAGAAAAAAGTTCTTTTCACTGAAGCATTCAAAAGTAGACTGTGGTATCCCTGCGAAGTGGGTCTTACTGGGACCTCACTTTTCCTCACGTGACGATGATGTGAATGTGGACCGATTTAGGAATGCCTTCTGTTTTAAACATATACTTGGATACGTTCAAGGATGAGTACATTACGAACATGATCACTTCAAGTCACATTTGAATTTCGATGCCACGAGTACGATTTCCACTTCTTTCTCTTGCATATGTTTAGGGACGCCTGCATGAGATGAAAGGGAGATTCGAGTATGAATCGCTTTTCGGGAATGCTCCATAATCTCCTGTTGAATGCTTCAGTGAAAGGAGCCTTTCCCACAGTTGAAGATCTTGAGTGAAATCGTTTCGCAAATGATTTATGCTTCACGCCTCATAGGCTATTCTTACGTTTCAGAGTCCTCAAGTATCATCATGATTATCAAGGCACAGCCCTCGCAAATGTCGCATTGCTTGGGATTATCTCCAGCATTTTCTCAGTGGACTCGATTATAAGCTTCTGGACGCACGTCTCTTCAGCATCGCAGCAACGGTATGGCAGGTCAGGTTAGAATAAGAGACATTTCACCATAAAAATGTCTCTATAATGTGCCATGTTTCTCCGATGCGTCAATTTAATTATTTTTTTAAATAGAAAATCACTGATCAAAAGTTGTTCTTTTTGATCTTCACTCCATACTCCCCCTGTTCCGTTCTTTTTCTCTTCTCATCTTTGCAATTGAAATGATTAACTGTTCACGTGGTTTCCTCGAATCAGGTTGATCGGAGATTCAAGCTTGACTCTCAGTCCTCTTATGTCCTGCCCAGAAAATCCATCTCGAAGCCACATGTTCGAGAAGACATCGAGATCCCTAATGAATGGTCATTATTTTCGAGGAAATCCGGCTTTCAACGCCTGGGGTCTCCCGTGCTCGTTATATATTTACTGGATTGATGACCTATCACCCTTTGTCATGCATAATAAGAGACACAGTCCCAATTAGAGATACCGGTAATCTAGTCGAATCGCGTCCTTTCCTGCCGTAAAGGTATACGTGATTGATTCCAAGCCTGAGCCAAACTGGTGTTTTAATCAGCCGATCGATTTTACATGAGACGTAAATAGGTCTTTGTTCTAGGGGATTAAACCAATTGCGAAAGAAAAAAATCCGTTGATACCTATAAAAGGAAAGATGCTGCCTCGATTCGAAGGATTAATAAGGGAGACTGCCTCTTGACGCCTCCTTGGAGCCTCAAACCTTGAACCTCCAAGTTCGCTGGAGGAGTTATCCGAACTCAAGGGGAGGGGATTAAGAGGATGAAGCCGCTATATATGTATCTCAACAGCTGGGCTCTCAAATGAGTTCAGGCTCCAATTAATTTGATTTACCTTATAAAGGGATAATATCCCCAGTTAAAAAAAAATAAAGAGCATCTGAACGACTACTGTTGTACAATTAAATGCTGGTTGAACTTGAGCCTTGATATTTTTTTCATTTGCTAATCCGATTCCAGTTCATTTCTGACAATCCCAGTAAACCATTTCCACCGGAATAAAGCTCCTCCTCTCGTGCTTTTAGGCAACGACAAGCTTTTTTTTATTCCCCGGGGACACCGTGCTAAATAAGAGGTCTATGGATGAGTATACCGTTTTAGATGAGGTTCTCTTCATCGCCGTTCCGGTCCATTGAAAGAAAAAGCCACACGACGCAAAAGGGTTAGCTTCCCTTTTTTTTCACCCCTTCCAAAAGGAAAAAAAAAAAACCCTTTCCCCAGGGCGTTGAAAAGCTGCTATTAATAAAAGCTCGTCGAGGGGAGAATGGTGCAAGAAAGAGTTCATTTCCGAGTCTGCACGAGCCCTCTCATCCCTCATATTGTTCACCCCTTTGACGATGAAAAATCATGCCACATTCTCCAGTAACCCTTTTTAGGCGGAAAATGTGAAAAGCTTCCAGGATTTTTCCCCTCACCAAGGAGATAAGAATCTCTTTCATTTTTATCAAGGAGTATCCAACGGCTTCTGTGGGAAAAAAGTATTTGGAAAAAAAAGAAAGGAAAACTCGCGAGGGTCATATAAGAGACCTAGGAGTGGTTCTTGAGGGCCGTATAAAAGTCGGAGGCAAAAGTACCCGGGGGACGCATATAAACGCAGTACTTGTCTGAATGATGGAGATGCTGACAGAGTCCGGTTTTTATGAACCCCTCGCCTATAAAAACCCTCACCAAATAAGGACAAACTTCTCGTCCTTTTTTTCCCTATCCCAGGCCCCCTTCCCTGCAGGTCGGGGACCGTGAATCACTCCTTTATTTTTACGAGTCTGCGACACATGACGGACTTTTCTTCCCACCTTTGTCTTTCTGCCCCCGATTCGAATAAAAAAAAAATGCGGATGGTCTGGCAAACCTCCCTACGGACTCAAGTAATGGCCTATCTTATCTGAGAAGGACCCTTGTCCCCCTAATAAGGTCTGGAAATGTGAATGTTAGAAATTCTTTTTCTTCTTGCGCCTCTTGAGAGCGGTTATTACGGTTTGGCTCGGGTGGGCCAAAAAATTCCGCCCCAATTTTTAATTGCACATAACTCAAAAACTATTGAAGCCACAGGCTCGAAAAAAAACAGCAAATTAAAGCTTGTTCCTTCCTCTTTAAAATAATCTATAAGTTCATTGTAATACGTGCCATGGCATGGCCGCCATGGCCATTTGAATCAACCATGACTAAAAAAAAGGTAAATTGAGGAAATAAGAAACAAAAATGCATTTTTCTGCAGTAGGAACTGACCTCAAATTTTACTTTTCGATAAAGTGTTCAATGTGGCCACCATTTTCACCCACTAGAGGCACTCAATCGCTTGCGCCATTTGGAAATGGCTTTTGAAATCCAAGCCTGGGGAAGCTCCTCCCAGGCTGCACAAATCCTCTCTTTCAGGTGTTCAACGTCGCAAATTTTTTCACCTCGATAAACTTTCTGTTCCAAAGCAGACCAGATAAAGTAATCGACCGGGTTCAAATCTGGGCTGCATGGTGGCCAGTTCTCAGGCTCAATGAAGGTAGGGCAATTCCTCTTGAGAAAGGCCATGGTCTCCTTGGCAGTGTGCGCTGGAGCTCCATCTTGCTGGAAGACAAATGTTGGGCACTTCTCCTTGATTTCAACCAGCATGGGAGTCAAAACCTCATCGCAGTAGCTCTTGGCATTGATTTTAACCCCGCGAGCAATGAAGATGATCGAAGTTTTCCCTGACGAAGAGGCCGTAAGTGAAATCATGACCTACTGGGAAAAGTGCTTCCGTTCACACAGAAGTCGGGCTGGATCAACGTCCTTTTTTCTCCCTGTAGTACGAACTCGGTCATTCTGCGTGTTCCTTGGCGTTTCAACAGTGAAATTCTTCTCGTCGGAAAACCAGATTTTCTGCACAGCTTTGTTGCTACGGAGCCGGCTCAATAGTTTGTTGCATCGTTCATGGCGTTTCTGCTTCACTGGCGATGAGAGCGCATGGAGAGAAACCCGCTGAAAAAACCTTCAGTTTCAGGTCATCCTTCACTATCCGCCAAACAGACGAACGCTTTATCCCAGTCTGCTTTGACACTTCGCGCACACTTTTGCTTGTTCCAGGCTTTCCTTCTTGACTCAGAATCAGTTTTTCGACGCTTTCGATGTTTTCTGCTGTTCGAACAGTTCTTGGACGACCTGATCCATGGCGCTCCACGCTCAATGCTTCCTGTTTCTTGGAGCTTTCTCAGGAAGTCTCGAACAGTCGATTTCTTCCACTGCCGATCAGGAAACTCCTTCAGAATTTGGTTCAAGGAATGTTTCTTTTCCTTACGAAGTGCAAAAAAAAAAGTTGCAAGGTGTTGCTACTGCTACAGGCGCCTTTGTTTCTGTCCTGCTGTGAAGAGGGGAAGACACAGTTCAATGGCTGGCTACTTTTTCACCCTCCCCAGTCATCTCTTCCTAATACCGTATCATTTTTATGCCATTTTTATCATTTCTTATTTTTATTTTTGAACAGTTCTTGGACGACCTGATCCAGGGCGACGCTCAATGCTTCCTGTTTCTTGGAGCTTTCTCAGTAAGTCTCGAACAGTCGATTTCTTCCACTGCCGATCAGGAAACTCCTTCAGAATTTGGTTCAAAGAATGTTTCTTTTCCTTACGAAGTGCACAGATGAGATGCTTATCACTTTCTGATAACCCGCGGTGGACACTTGTCATTTTTGGCCGTGAGGAAGAAAATAAAAAAAATTAAAAAGTCAAAAGTGACGCTCAGATGAAGCATGCACACGGCAATTTCTCGTGGAAGAGAGAGCAAACATCGTTGCTGCAGGATCGCAATGTGAAGTGAGCTAAGCTTCTCTGCTGAAAGCTTGGAGTGCTGGTCGGCTGTTCATGCACGTTTCAGCATAAAAATGATGCGGTATTAGGAAGAGATGACTGGGGAGGGTGAAAAAGTAGCCAGCCAATGAACTGTGTCTTCCCCTCTTCACATCAGGGCAGAAACAAAGGCGCCTATAGCAGTAGCAACACCTTGCAACTTTTTTTTCGGTCATGGTTGATTCAAATGGCCGTGGCGGCCATGCCATGGCACGTATTACAATGAACCAATAGACTATTTTAAAGAGGAAGGAACAAGCTTTAATTTTTCTGTGTTTTTCGAGCCTGTGGCTTCAATAGTTTTTGAGTTATGTGCAATTAAAAATTGGGGCGGAATTTTTTGGCCCACCCTGCATATTAGATGGAAAGAATCGGAAGTTTTCCCTCTCTCCACGGATTGCCTACAAAGGCTCGACTGGCTCAGACTTCAAACTGAGTAGGGAAACGCGAATATGTTCGTCTTCGTTTACGGATCGTTCGATGAAGTTCTTTCTTCTTCTCCAGTGTCTTTCAGCCCAGGAATAAACGAATGGGGAGTGAATCACACTATCTACTATGACTCTCGGCTCTTGAAGCATTTCTTGAACGTGGACCTCGGGCCAGGAAAAAACTTCCATATTTCCCTCGTCTTCAGGAATGGAACCCGAGAAAAACTCAACATCCACCTGTAAGTCATGGAATAGACACATCGAAATCCCAACGATTTGTATCTTAGATGAAACATGCAAAAAGCGTTTGACGGACATAATGCCTATATCTTTCTCTCTTTCACAGCTTAAATATGGCAATGAAATGATTCAGTTCCGCGAATAATTGGAGAAGAAATACAAGGGAGAGTCCACCTGTATATCAGAATTGCAATTTGATCCAGGTCCGCAATACACGCTGAAAACTCGATTACTGAGGGGGACCGGCAAGAAGTACAAGGTCCTCTTCACAGCCGAACTCGTATCGGGCTCCAGGCTTCACCCCATTAGGTACGAAACGGTCTCAGAATACGTGCGCGAGGGTTCCTGGGCTCGATCGGGAGAAATGCCCGCTTTCCAGCCTGGTACTGTTGCGGAAGATATCGGAAAGAGAGAAGGTGATTAAGGCAAACTTGACGCATACAGTCGAAACAAGGTCCACCTCCTTCACAAGCTCAAGATCCGGAAGGAAGTCGAGGATAGAAAGATGAAGGTGTTCGTCGACGAGCACATCGACGCAGACACCAAAGTCATCATGAGGGGAACCGGGTAAGATATACATATAGAGACTAGCTGCTATCGTAGCTTCGTTGTGAGAGATTTGAGGTCGACTGATCAGATACGCGAATGGGGACTGGTCTCTGAACCTGCCGCGATGGAGGCGACGGATGAAGGGGACCTGGGACTGGAAGCACAAGGGCCGATGAGGGGAGGTCCCTCAGCACGGATATAAATCGGATCCTCATGTGGATCTCCCTCATGTGGATGAGGGAGACGAGAAGAGGATCGTGGTGGATGCCGACCTGAGGCTGCCGATCAAGGAGTGGGAGGCGTCGATCAGGTGCGACATGCCTGCGTCCTCTGGAGGACTGGAATGGAGGTCTGAGTCTGGGCAATGCGTCGGTCTACCGTCACGTTTCTGGGGGAGAGGGACGCGGGAGGAGTGTCGGGGAAGCTGTCCAGGGAGTTTCTGTACGGGGAGTCCAGCGTGAGGCTCGAAATTCAAATGCAGTCGCGTTCCTGGATATGGCGATCAACGTGTGAGACAGAGAACAGACTTTCTACTGCACCTCGCCCTTCAGCGCTAGGGATCTCAAGAATAAGGTCTATTGGTCAGTTGGATCTGGCACACGTCGTTGAAACAAGGATGGGATGGACTCGGATCTGAAGTTAATGAATTGAAGAGAATGAAATCGGAGGTGACGGTCGAAATACGAGGACATCGGGAAGGGTCTATTCGAAGCGAAAGGGGACCCCACGGTCATGGACCAAGGACCTCAAGATCGACGCACTCTCCAATTACAACCTCACCTCCAAGTGCAGCTATTGCGTTAGGGGCAAAAGGGTGGGCATAGCTCTCGATCTTTTCGGCATCAGTGTTGCTACACTGTTATTTTAATTCCTTAAACTGAGTGGACGCGGGAGCGTGCCAAGGCAGCTGCAAAAAAGACAGTAAATAAAAAACAAGCCGGCAGGTGCGAAAGTTAGATTTTCTGAGGGTGCATTTTCAGAAGATTGGCCATATGTACGAAATTACGGCCAGTGGTCAGTGGGGCGTCGTGAAGGAACTCAACTTCAACGTGGAGACGCCGTTCACGGAACCGGTCGTTTTTCGCATGAGGGTTGGGATTGGCGGCGATGGTACCATCTCGTCCTCGGAGAGAGATGCGAGACTTTTTTTTTCCGAAGTTAGCTCCAGACGAGAGAAACGTAGAAGTATTACGTGGAGTCTCTGCTGTAGTGGAGACCAAACAAATACTTGAACGTGGATGGCACCGTTGTCACGAATATACCACTGTTGAGCGAATTTGTGAAAATGAAGTCTATATTGAGCATTTCAAGAGCAGTTGCCGATTCCTCTCCTTAGGAATTGTCGGCAACCCGGGGATTTGGACAGCCCTGCTTTGAACGATAAGAACTGGCCGATGAAACTCCGTTACGGAAACGACGGTCGCAAGAATACGCTCACACTCGAGGCGGAATCCCAGGATCGCCCAAATCTCCTTGACTCCACGTCGATTTCATGTCGCCCGATGTCATCATGTCATGATGTATCACCTGGCTACGACCAACCTACAATCTTTTTGTGATAGGATCATGTACCCAACCCATGCTAGGGCTCACGCCCTTGACTATTTCCTCCTCCTTGCCCCGCCTGCAGCAGGGCATAACATGACTTCCCCCAGACTGCGGGTCTCTCTCTCTACTTTGGCTGTCTCTACCCAGTCTGCTCGACTTCCTCTCGACGCCTNGGACTTGTTACCTGCAGACTATAGCCGATGGCGATGTAACATAAAATAACTCTTCTTCTCTGACTCTTCCGCTGCCATTCCTCGTCTCAATTAGGCTCTTCTACAGGCCCGTCAATTCCCCCCCCCCTTCTTTCTCACCCTTTCTATTGACGTTTGATAATAACAATTGTGGTTCTGGTTGAAATGCTGCGGCTTCTTTTTATTGTGAGGTTAACTAAGCGATGACTCTATTTCAAAAGACACTTTCTCCCTTTTCCCTCCGTAGTTACAACCTTAAGTTAAGCCTTAATGGCTCTTTAAGCCGCATTTCTTATTGTTTCGCTGTCGCGTCCCCATCAAATTATGATGTTCCTCCGCTAAATAAAAATTAGCAACCAGCGTATGCTCAACTCTATGTCTACGATGCGGATGAAGCGGTTGAGATGCGTATGCAACATCCGTCGAATACACACTGTCTTCGAGAAGCGATACTAACCATGGATCGAGTGTTGCGTCGGATAGGTCCCACGCTGAACAGAAAAAAATACTGAGAAAACCGCCACATGACGAGAAAGTCCGTGTGAAGTTGAATGGCGGGCAAACACGCGACGTCAGGCTACTGTTCAGACGCTGGCGTTGCGATGACAGAAAGCAACATAACGCTCCCACTAGCGCAGATGAAATCTCCATGATATTTGTCGCCGATCGAGAAGATTATGTGCCTGTCAACGTGGATATTCCCGAACATCATTTCAAATTATCGTTGATAGGGCTTCCATTGATGTTGAAACATATAATGGTTAGCCCACAACAAATATAAAACATGTGGAAGGAATTGAGGCCACTATGGCACGCAGTCGGCCAAAATCTATCAGACGTGCTTTGTTCGAACTTAAAATTTCCCGTATCAGACTCAAAGACCATCGAGTAATGCCGAATACACTCAAAATGCAACCTTATCATATGCAACGAGTTCAGCCAGCATGACTGTATTGTCTGAGGTACAGAATATCCGCATATATCACATGAACAGGAGCGTTCAAGCACAAGAATTTCAATATGTGTTGCCATTATGGGCAATAATTTTTTCTGGCGTTTCGTCCTCCGTGAAGACGCAGTTCGTTCTGGTTCAGATCTTAACGCGAAGTATCATCCGACAGTACCGGCTGGCACTCACATACGATTCACTCCTGCAAAGAATGGCATCCTAGCAAGACGATTCTGGCAGCTAGTATGGACGAAGTTGGCCGATTCCATGACCTCCAAGCTCACTAGACCTCACACACACGGACTTCGCGTTGGGATACGGACGAGACAGAGGCCACAAAACCATGAAACGTGAATGAAGTGAATCAACGCATCATGGAATTGATTGATACCCGAAGGCACGACTTTGTTTGAAACACTTGGTTGCCCTTGATTCTTCGATGTGATACTTGTCGCTTACGCCACGCTGGACAGGTAGAGGCTCAATTCAAACAAAATGGGGGCAATAAACAACGTGAAACTGCATTGTAGTTGCAAGTAGAGTTTCATTCGGCAGTCGCCAGAATAACGATGAATATCCTCGTTATTCAAAGTTAAGCATAGGTCATGCCTCTTGTGGCAAATATTTCCTAGAACGGTCTTCATATGACCAAACTATGTACAGAATAAAGGTTTCAGTTTGATCCCTTTGGAAGTAGTAACCTTGACTCGCGATACACTCCTCCCAACTTTCGTAAATAGCTTGGAACACTGGTCGTAACCCATGATTGGCAAACTGCATCAACGCATTCGTCCCAGCTGAATGTAGAACGTTTGTTTCGTTGAAGCGGAAGACTTTCATGAGGCACGTCATTCTGGAAATATGGAGGATCCCAAGCAGCACGTTTACGTAAACAATATATCAATTTTTTTGCCAACAATGTAAATTTATTGCGATTGCCATGAAAATGACATCACGTTTACGTAAAATGTACGTTCTCATATTTACGTCACCAAAGTGTATGTGTATTTTACGTAAACTGGACGTCTGACGTGAAGTACATGATATCAAGTTTATGCAAAGTTAACATCACACTTTCCATATAAAACTTTAGCTGACCATCCCGCAGTTGCAATACCAAGATTCCTCACTAGATGGAACCCTTGTTCCCTGCACCCTAAAATTGATATTAAGTACTGGCTTTCCTGATATATTTTCAGGTTTTCTTACAATCCTTCCACTTTTTATTATGCAATCCATGAATATATATATGGAAAACATGAAATTATTATATATACATTTATAATATGACTAAGGGAATCATTAAATGCTGAAGTTAAGCCTTTTATTACATTAGTGCACAGGATTAGGGAAGAGTAGAATGACAATGAAAGTACTACATCATCTCTATCCAAAATGGAAGAGAGCTCCTCTGAACGTCCCTTCTCCCGAGGTTCCGGTGCAGGAGGAGGAAACAGTAGGTCATTTTGGTACTCTTAAGTCCTGGTGAGGATGAGTATTCGTGTACTCGTCCAACCACCCTAGAGTTCTGAAGTATGGATAAGAATGGGAGATAAAGTGTATCAATTCTCTTCGAAGGTACTGTTTGGCTCGTTATATGCACATGAATGCTAGGGGTAAATTAACATGAATATTACGTAAAATGAATGTAAACATGCTGTTTGGAATGCAAACGGGCATGTCAATCTTACATCAAATTGACATTAATTTTATATTAACGTTTACGTATCACAGAGGTGACATTTCTGCAAACATGCTGACATTATCTTGACAATGGTTTGCGTAAAAATGATATAAAATGGAGAAAAAATGTACATTCATTTTACGTAAAATTAACATGAACATGCTGTTTGGGATGTTGGAAAAACGTCACCCTTGAGTGGTTAGAAATCCCATGGTGCTGCCGTGGTACTGATTGGTTGCCTGTAGTCACAGTGGACGTACTCAGAAAGATCCTGTAAAGTTTTCTTCCAATCTTAAACATAAACTCTATACAAACATGGTGGGACACACATTCACACCAAATCAAAGTATTATATTTATTGTACTAACTAATTCCCTTGGAATCAATTGAATCTCAACAAGACACAAGTGCTCACCATAACTATTGACAAAATATGTTCGATGTTTCGCCGTTCCTATTGATGGCAACATGGATTCTTTGAATCTGTCAGTCGATTGCGTTTAAAGGACATGGTTTCGCTCCTTTTAAGGACGAACATTAACTGATTCAGGTCTTTCGATTTCGTTCATGAGCACGTGCATCAAGCAGACATCGCATACAGAAATCCGTTTTGTTACGGTCAGAGTTGTATGGGTTATATTTTTATCTTCGAGCAATTCTACCTCATGGTTAGTCATGCTATTTTTTTAACCTCTAACCATATTTAGGCAGAAAAGGATTCATGTTAAAACAGAAATGGTAGACCACCAAAGAGAAACTCGCATAGAGGGACAATACATATCTTCTTTCATGTTTTCAGGCCTACATGAATAGAAGAGTTGAAAGTAGTATGAATATTGGCGCATCCTGTACTTTGTACGTTGTGTAATTGTGCACAATTGAAGTCTGTTCCTGGAACTTTTGATAAGCCTATCTAATGTGTTTCTTCTGGGTATGCACATAGACAACGTTCATGAAATCATCAAAGGAAAAGGTGTGAGACAATAAATGGCGGAAATGGCCAATGCAGAGACGAGATGGGTCAAACTTTAAATCATTAGGAGCACAGCACATGCACATCTATTAAAATAACTTGGCTTGGACGGTGGTTCAGAGATTAATCGTTAGTTCTTTTCTGGTTTTTGTCTTTAATATTATAGTGTGCACATGGTTATATAATCACGGGTAATAATCATTTTAATGACTTAAAGTATAGACGTGTGGAACCCTATTTCATCGAGGAAAATTTAAGTGACGATACCCGGCATGTTAGGCCAAAATGTCAATATTTCCTGAAAATGCAAGGCCACGCAACAAATTGGAAAAGAGAGGAGCGTTCCCAATATTGCTAGTATGAGAAAAACCAAGAGAAGCAGAGAAATAGTGTGGGGGAGAAAGGGTTGCTGAATATAGTAGTAATAGCGTGCAGGAAACACGATTCTTCCCGACAAACAAACAATTCCCACATTCAGAAGTAAGTCATTTCAATTCATCCCCTTGCAAAACTCAATGTCGCAATATTCCCATGCAGGATTGGTACCCTCTCCATTGTAACACCAAGGTCCCTCCTTTTCGAGATCGGGGTTTCGACAGTAGTTGTGACGACTGTCCATGCCAGAATCTGGGAATACCGGCAGGTGGAGGATGGTCATATGTTGGTTTGGCGTTTGGCTCAGCCAGGGCTGGCACTTCTTCCCCGACCGTGTCACGTTCTTCAACCCTAAGTACTCTCGTCCAGATTCCGTTTGTTTGCATTCTGCAGGATCTATGCAGAGAACCAGCGAAGGGCTTAATCAATTGGATAGAGAGTGTCTTTCCTGTACAATTTAGCTATCCGGTGAATGAAAGAACGACATTGAATGTGCATTAGGGCATTCCAAATGTATTGCCTTATCTACCTGCTTTCTGTAATTATTGTCTGTACAGGAAAATACTAGTAATTTGATTTTTTTTAATGCATGTATTAATTTCATATAATTTTCCCTTTCTTTCCATATCTCCTCTCATATGGAATGAACATATTTTTGGACCTAGTTTCACCTAGTAAGCTCTGCTACTATAGAGCAACGGTACGTTTGACATGATGATATGTGCAGACATGATACTTTGCATTCACCTTGAAGGTATACCGAGGTCTTTTAGTTGAGATTTCTTGAGCATATGTTTGGACTCTTTTCCTGAGATAATGAATAGCTCCCGATAGGCTATTCGCTCCGGAAAAAGAATGAGAGCCTGGAAAGCTACCGTATTTCAATGTATTTGATAGGTTACCTACTGTATAATCCGAAGGAACTGTACTCTCTTCTCAAAGTCACAGTTGAAGAGGATGCATGCGTTTAGTTGCATGATGCTGCAAAGAGTAAGGCCATCTCAACGGGCATTTGAGAACATTCACCGTCTCTACCTCTGAATGATGAATATTTGTGTTAGATTAATGCCCCAATTGCTCACAGATGCATAGGAACAGGAACGGAGGGAAATTTGTTGTGTGACGATCACTGAAGTTGAAAATGCACATTCCAGGCATTCTGCCTAATTTATTACTAATAACTAAACCTGGATTTAGTTTTTTTTTTAGGCCAGAGAAGTACACCAGGTAGGAAGCAAGCACACATAACCAGAATTGATTCACGACCAGTCACTACAACACGGCAGAAGATGGTGAGTGAGGCGGGATGTTTGCTTCATGGCATTTTTTTAAACTCTAAAATGCTTCATAGTCAGGTTCCTGCTAAAAAAAAAAAAAGGGTTCCTTTTGCAGGGCGATTCTAGGTTACGAAAATCACTGTCATTTGAAATTTGCATTTATATCCATTTTTAGATGTCATTTTCGGCGAATGAACGGGCAAAGTTTGCTTGCTGTTTCTTACGAATGGAAAAAACATCCCATGATTGTTCCCTGAAATTTTCCTCCAGAATTCGGTCGAAGTTCCCCATCCTCGTATGAGCAATATCAAACTTTAATGGAAAATGGAAGTGTGCAAAATGCGGAAAGAAATTGGCAATTAACAAGTTCCCTTCCTCTCTCTTTCGTGAGGCCGAATTGCAAGTTTGATAACGAAAGGTCATTCTCGGAAGATAAGGAAAAGTTCTGTTGAAACCTCAAGATCATATCTCGAAGCATTTGGCCTGTAGAGCTCACACACACACACACAAACTAACATTTGTCGACCGGCCTTGCTACCAGTCAGGATTGAGCACGCTTTGTTCAACCATCGGTCCTCCAGTTTGAATAAGGAGGCAATACTTACTGAAAATTACAATACTTACTCTTAAAATATTGAGAGAAATCAGTAATGCAAGAAATGGAATATGCGAAATTGAAAGTAAAATTCATGATTTGTTGAAGTCGAATTACTTAATTTTCTTCAACTTCGAAGTTTTGAAGATCAAATCCCACAGAGATGGACTGAATTAGGGAAGAATCGGAAAACGACACTGAAAATTAAAAGGAAATATATAACCCTGGCATAAAACCTGAACATATTAAGGTTTATGAAAACCGTTCATTAACTCAGGGATAATTCATTGCTGATTCGGAGTTCTAAGAACCCGATTTTAGAAGGTCACGACAAAAAGGAATTCAGACCTTTGGGACCATAGCAGAGCGGGATGTCACAGTACTCCCAGGTAAAGTTCGCCATGGAAACGAGGCACCAGGGTCGCTCCATAGAACCATAATTCCGGCAGTAGTTATTTTCTTCTGAGATTTGTTTGTTTGGTTCTACTAACTCCGTCCATCGGAAAAAAAATTTCCGGATCTTCTGAGTCGGTCCAAATGGCTGGCGATCTTGGAATGGTAGGTGGGAAAAAAGTGATATTGGAAAATCGTCGTCCATCTCATTGGGCCAGATTTCGCAATCCTTCCCTGTTTCTGTCGTGTTCTCTTCACCGTAGTATTCCTTCCCCATCTCCGTAATCCGACATTTTTCGTAATCGGGCTGCATTACTCCTCCATCTAAGATAAAAGGGCAATGAATTATTGGACCCATTTATACATGGGAATTGGTAGCAGAAGAACCTGAGTGAAAAGTACCTTCATTCAATCTACTTGATATAGGTAAGCATTAATGAATAGTATTGTAAAATATAAGTGATTCACTCGATTGAGTTGGTGGATGTTGAGATAGTGGAGCATTTCAGCACTTAATGAATTACCGAATTACCCAATGGGGAATAACCAAGTATCCGATTAGAATCTGAATGCTCATAATTCGTACTCATTGCCGAAAGTTTTCGATAGATCCAATGTCTAGGAATGTATGAATAAGGACATCCATTTCGGAGAGTAAATATAGATCTTAAGAATAAGGTCGTGCCCCTTCGTGGTCCGTCTTTTTCCGGAATTTATTTAATGCTCAGGATAACATTCGGGTGAATGGAGCAAATAATAATGAAGTGCTCAAGTACCATATGAAACCGTCTTCAGACGTAGTCTATTCATGAAATTTTCGGGAAATGAATAATATAAACGTATCTAATATTCTAGGTATATATAGACTATCGTGTGAGTGACTGACGCTAATTCTAACCTCGTTCTAGAAATTATGAGAGGCTGAAACTTGGTGCACGAGTAGCTGTTAGATTGCTGACTAGAACAATTCCAACTTTGGAGGTAAATGCCCTTAGGGCACATTTAGGGGGTGGGGGGGAACAATTTTCGTTGCCGTAGTTTTATCCCATGGGTGGATGCTTAGGCCAACACCACTCCTGATTTCTTCAATGATAGGGGAACAGGGATAGCTGTTGGGTTGTCGACTACAGGACAACTTCGACTTTGGGGTACATGCCATGGGGGTACATTTCCGGGGGGGACTGATTTTGCAGACCTTGGCGCAACCTGTAGATGAACGCGTAGGCTATCACGGCACTCATGCAATTTTTTCCTTCAAGAAAGCGGGAGGGAAGACCTATAGCTGTTGAATTGCATAGGCCAATGACTAATTCACGATTGGCCGCTCAGGTTGACAGTGAACCTGGGAATTTTGAAGAAAGGTCTCATGTACGCCCAGTAGCACCATCTCTCACACCCGCCAAAATTCAGCACACAACCGATCCAAAGCAATGTATTCATGATGAACATATGAATAAATTCAGAAATTTCCTGGCTGCCCACACATATTTTTGTCCTGAAGAAGTTTTATTTGATCAAAAACCAAGCTACTACCAGTGTGGATGAGCATGAAAATCATTTACAATTCCTTTACATGGGGCATTGGCAGAAGCAAAGTAGGTCATTGGACTTGCATTTACTAGGACAGCAAGAACATCAATGTGTATGACAGCTTGGTGTTGCAATTACTTCCTCCCCAATACTACATTCTGCAACGTCCATACCCACACTCGCTACCGATGGCATATCGTGCAGCGCCAGCCAGACTTAACAACATGCGGAGTGTTTGCCATTGCCTTTGCAACATCCGTCGCACTTGGTGCGGACCCCTTCAGGGAGCAATGTCTCCTTGATGAGAACCGTCAGGGAAATTCTATGGAAACAATATCAATAAGACACCATCTGGTGGAAATGATGATGACTAACAGACCCCTTCCAACACAGAACGTATCACAAACATCAACTGGGAGTCGTAGAGGTAGACTTCGAAATAATTTTTCATAGGCGCCTCATCACATCACTCGCACCTGGAGAACAATACAGAGAAAGCAAGGCACGATACCAAGCCAGTGATTCTGAGCAACACAGAAAAAAGCCTGAAAAATCGTTGCTTCTGCAAGTCCGACAGTTCAGTAAAAGCAACTGTATTGCCAGGACTTCGCAAAATGATTTTCATACCGTCAAGCCATTACACTTGAAATACAAGAGCCTAGAGCAGGGCTTCCCAACCCAAGGGTCGCGACCCCATTTGGTGTCGCCAAGATCATATTTGAAGTTGCGAACCAGCAAAGAAATGCCAAGTAATGTTTTTCTTTGCGATTTTAGTGCACAGATGGCCTGTTCGATCAATGCTCGTGGCCCTGAATGGCATAATCGTGATTTTTGGGGTCGCGCGTGAAAAAGGTTGGGAAGCCCTGGCCTAGAGCAACCAGAAATCAAAGCATGCCCAACTTGTGGTGCTCGATTATTCCATGAAGAAGGAAATAGAAAATAGTGATGTTGTGGCAGCGGTAAATATTTCATCGGGCATCTTCCTACATCACTGTTCCTTTTTACAGCAGTTCCAATTTCATCAAGAACTCAAGATGTTATTACAATCTTTTTTCATTTACGGCACTCGGTGTTACTGAAGGTTTTCAGAATCCTGCCACAGGTCAAGGCCCGTCACTTCTTAAGATCCAGGTTAAAACTTACCACTATTCAACTTAAATTCCACTCAAGGCACATCGTCTATACATCGTCTATTTATAGGGAAATGTTATTTACATTTCCCTATACATAGGCGATGGGGCGGAACGGCAGAAAATTGCAATAGAGCAGAAACTTGACGTGCACATCGTATAAAACATCCGGTCTTATTTTTTACAGGAGAATAACTGAATAACATCCTTCTGTCATTTAGGCCAGTGCGCATCAACACAATCTAGCATAGTGTTCCAGCGAACAAGAAGAAGGCTCCACGGCCCCATCGAAAGTGATGCCCCCACTACACCTGAGATATCCGGCATTTTACAAATGGATGCCAATTCTGACCCTCGTGAAGTAGCCCTTTGGGAGCATGGTTCTGAGCAGCCCAGTTTCATCAGTATATTTCATCCAGCATATGAATGCTTGCGATAGCCCTTGCTGTTTCCACACGCTACATCTGAGTGGTTCCCAAACTGGAGTGGTCCACATGGGGATAAAATCCCACGAACCAAAAATGGTATCGTCTTCTCTTACTCTCTGAACCACGGTTCGCCCAACTCAGTCGTTTAGGACAGGAGTACTTTGTGGACATGTGGTCTAGGGCGGAAGAAGAAAATATTCTATGGGTCCGCAGAGAGCAGCTGTACAAGAACTGCATGACACTATCGAGGCGCAAGGAGGTTTTAAGGCTGGTTGGGTTTATCTCCCAACAGCCCAAGGTATATGCAGGTAAAATATCAGGATGCAATGTCAATTGTGACGAGATTAGGCCGGCACAGCTTCTTCTTGGCTGTTACGTGCAATCCGAAGTGGAAGAGAATTTTGTCTAACTTACTTCGCCATTAATCTGATGCCGCCATCAATTTGACGGCCCTGACTTCTGTAATAGGGTATTTCAACTGAAACTCACTGCTCTCCTACCTCTTATAGAGCGAGGAAGTCTCTTGGGGCCCATGGTGTCGATTCTACATGTGATTGAATTTCAGAAGCGTGGTCTCCCGCACGCACAGCTTCCAATTCGTGTTGAAAGTGGTGGGCCGAGCATTGCCAGTGAGATAACTGAATTTGTAAGGGCGACAATCCCTTCTACCGCTGAAAACAATGACAATCATCTGAAATCTCATACACTAAATGGTACATGGCCCCTGTGGACTAGATCGTCCAACTGTACCCTTATAAGAATCAGGTTACAAAAACGTGCACCAAAGGGTTCCCCAAACTGTTTTGCGACGAGACTTACAAGGTATACTGTATAGGCGAGGTTACGTGCAATACCAACGTCCCGAAGGCAAACCTTTCACTACACGCATGGGCAGAGTAATTGATAATCAATGAATAGTCGCGTACAACCCCGCTATACTACTTTTGATGGAATGTCATTGCAACTTGGAGATCGCATCGCCAGTTAGTCATAAAATATACATTCAAGTATTGGGTTAGCCGGTAAGTTCTTGCAATTTTCGCCTTTTCTCATTAGGAAGTCTCACGAATTTTCTATAATTTTCCCGCTTCGCCTATAAATAGTCTCCCTCCTTGCGTGCAGGTTCAGTGCATTTTCGATCCCTTACCCCGAAGAATGAGCCAGAAGTTCGACCTTGACCGCGACCACCTCCGCACCTGCCTCATCTATGAGTTCCGTCTGGGAGAGAAGGCTGCCAACGCCCAACACCGTCTGTGCCAGGCGTTTGGGGAAGCGAGAAGACATGCTTCAATCGGTTCGCTCGCTTCAAGTCCGGAAACTATAACTTCTAAGACAAGCCGAGATCGGTACGCCCCTTGGAGTTGATGAGGCGCTACGACAACTCGTGGAAGCCGATCCCCGCATGACCTCTCGCGACATAACCGCCGTCCTCAGGTACTCCCACTCCACCATCGAACACGGCCTGTCCACGATCGGGAAGGCCTCGAAGCTAGGGAGTTGGATACCCCATGATTTCACACAGAAGGACCTCGACCAGCGTTCCGACACCTGTGCACTTTTCCTCTCTCGCCGGCGACGCTTCGACTGACTCGACGACGTCGTCACGGGGGAAGAAAAGTGGGTGATGTACGCTAACCATACCAGCAAGCGTCAGTGGATAGACGCCGACTAAGAGCCGCTGCCGGAGCCGAAAGTTGACCTGCACCCCCGCAAGGTGATGCTTTCCGTATGGTGGACTTTCCGTATGGTAAATACTTCGAATGCTACTTGCGACAGTTCTTTGAGTCTCAGCCCTCATCGTTCTACCACGGCGGAATACATTCCCTGGCTGGAAGGTGGAGACATGTAGTGGAACACAATGGTGCTCACATGTTTTTACAGATATTGTATAGTTGATGAATATAATTTTTTCTCAAATATTGTTTGAAACTGCAATAACTTTTCGGCCAACCCAATATATTCACAAAGGACCAGACCGGGCCAGGATAGTTGTAACGTCACTGGCCCCCACTCAAACGTTATTGACCTACCTGTACACTTGCAAAATCAAGATGTGGTTGGGTGAATCAGGCCAAAATGGAGCTATTGCGTGTCTTCAGACTTTAAAATTCCATAACTCTGGCAGTAATGAACATATCTTGACGAAATTTGAAATATCAATCATTAACGTCAGAGCAATTCTTTCAATATATTTTGGCATTAAAGCTTTTTTCTGGGACACACCAAACAGAGAAAATTGAATTTGTCCCACCTGTAACGCATCTTTGCCTTAGTACTCATGCACTCAGCACATTCCTATGCCAAATAAATTCTTGTTCTTTGATTTTTTTCTTCAAACAAATGCCTGAACATTACAAACATATTATTCATTTTCAGAATGCACTTCATCTGCTATTAGAGGCAGTGTCTCTCTAGCTTTGGCAAGGATTATAGGTGTCCTCAGAATTTGCGCTTTTTTATGTCCCACCTGTAACGGTAGTGTCATAAATAGGCGAATTGAAAATGGTGAGCTGATATTTTTCATCTCAAGACGTCATCATACCTACAGGAATTGCATAGAATTCTAATCATCATAGTTTTGAAATAATTTGAAAATTAAACATTTCTTCCTTTTACCCGCAAATGTCTAGCATAATTGCCCCACCCGTAACACATGTCTTGCTTGCTTACCCTGTTATAACTGCCCATGCTGATGCGCATTGCTGCGCCATGATAGGAGACAGCGTGATACATTTGTACAAGGTCGTACTAATGAGATGCCATATTTCAAATTAAAAGTCCCACCCATAACAATGTCCCACCTGTAACGTTTTTTGTTAACTCTTTACTTACGTTAACTCTTTAAAAACACAATTAAGCACTCTCATTAATTCCATTTTGAAAATTTATGCTGCTAGACATCGAGGATGATAGTAAAAATTGAAAATTGTAGCATCCTAAGTTAAACCTTTTCAGAGATATCATAAGACAGATTTTTTGACAAATGGCTAAAATTATGCATACTACAAAATGTGCAACTCTTTATTTAAGTATTAAACAACCTTCAGTAAGGGACGAAATGCAAGTTCTTAAAAAGAGTTTTCTATTGATATGCAGCATGTATATGATAATGCAATATTTAAAATTTAATCCAATTTTAAATATTTGCTGTGTTTGTCCCACCTGCAACGTTTGTTACGGGTGGGACAAAAGTATCATGTAGGAATGTGAAAACCAATTTCAATGGTTCCCAAGCAGCATTTTTATAAGTAATTTTACGGAAACTGTAACTTTTTTGTCCATTTATATGTATTTTACGCAAGCCATCAAGATAATGTCAACATGTTTGCAGAAATGTCACCTCTGTAATACATAAACGGTGATATAAAATTAACGTGAATTTTACGTAAAATTGACATTCTGTTTACATCCCCAACATCATGTTTACATTCATTGTACGTAAAATTGATGTTAATTTCTCCTTAACATTCATGTGTATTTAACGAGCTAATTTGTACTTTTGAAGGAAATTGATATACTGTATTTCTCCCATTCCTTTCTATACTTTGGAACTCAAGGTTACTTGGATGAGTACACAATTACTCATCCTCACCAACAATCAAGAGTACCAAGATTACTCACTAGTTCCTCCTCCAAAGGTCCTGGTACTCGGGAGAAGGAATACATGTTTAAAGGAGTTCTCTCCCATTCTGGACAGAGAAGGTATGATACCTGGGAAGCCGGGTTTCTACTCTTCCCTAATCCCATGCACTACTGTAATAACAAGCGTAGCTTCAGCATTTAATGATTCCCTAAGCCATATATTATTAAAAAATATGTTATTACTTCCTCCTTTCCATATATATATTCATGGGTTGCGTAATAGAAAGTGGAAGGATGGTAAGAAAACCTGATACTATATCGGGAAAGCCAGTACTTAATATCAATTTTAGGGTGCAGGGAACAAGGGTTCCATCTAGTGAGGAATCTTGATATTGTAATTGCGGGATGGTCAGCTAAAGTTTCATAAGGAAAGTGTGATGTTTACTTTGCATAAACTTGATACCATGTACTTCACGTCAGACGGAGTGACGTCCAGTTTACGTAAAATACACGTACACTTTGGCGACGTAAATATGAGAACGTACATTTTACGTAAATGTGATATCATTTTCATGGCAATCGCAAGAAATTTACATTGTTAGCAAAAAATTGATATCTTGTTTACATAAACATGCTGCTTGGGGAGGTTGGAGTTGCGAGTGGCGTCCCTCAGGGCTCTGTCTTAGGACCGATTTTTTTTGCGATATACATTAGAGATTTAGATCTAGCCTTCGTGGATTAGATCAGCAAAACCGATGACGGCACTAAAATCGTTTTAATATCGGGTGTGGCGGACAAGGTGGAGCCGAGTATTTTTTCCAGCTTTTAGACGAGTCGAGTAACAAAGGACTCATAAGGTCTAATAAAAGTTGATGTAAGGTACTTCACATCGGCCATAATAACGATAGGTCTCTCAAAACGTTCGGTGTTGCCAAACTCGATAAGGCAAATGGAGAGGATTTATGGATTATATTCGTTGAAGAATTAAAGTTTTTCTCCCATGCGTAATCGACGGTAGCTAAATGTAAAATGTATCAACGTTTAATCCGACATACCATGGCCAATAGGAGCTAGCGTGTTATTCTTCCATGTTATGTGGAACTGGTGAGGCACCGTGTAAAATATTGCATTCAGTTTCGGAAGCCTGAAAATAAGAGCGAGTTAACGACGCTTGGAGAGTCCAGAAGTGGTCTAAAATAGTAATCAAGGAGGTTAGGAGACTTTCAAACGATAAGCGTTGATACATGTTGCAGCTGTACTTGCACTAGAGAATGTTTGCGAGGGGGAACCTCATCCAGGTTTTTAAGTTCATCATAAATATAAACAACATTAAACAAGGGAAATTTCCCAGTTTGATGGCAGTGGCAGAACAGGAGGAAATCCACTTTAATTTCGTAAATGACAGGTGCGGCTAGTGTTGCGCCAAAAAGTATTTACTTGTAGGACAATGAAACCTTGGAATTCGTTAAGCGACGATGGCTGGTAATCCGTGTCTACCTTTAAGAGGAGAGACGCTTTCATGATAACATATTGAGTAATCGATGAGTGAATCAGCATCAGCTGGAATATGCAGGAGGCATATATTTGTTGCAAATACGTTTTGCAAGAAATTGATTTTCCTCCAGAGAATCGGCCAAAGGTAAAAGGTGAGACTTGGTACAGAATTAGCTGTTGTGATGATAAGTTCAGGATAACTCGATTTCCAAGATCATATCCTCATGGCGAAATATTTGATTGAGACCATTTCCTCATAGACCTTTTCGCTGCAGTGTGGCGGGCAAAAGCAAATGACTAATATCGGCAATGTAGTGGTTCTTGGGTGTTTAATTTCAGGTAAAATTCCTTTTTTGAGTTATATGCCCACAGGGCATATCTTTTGGTTGATGAAAATTTCAACTAATTTTTTGGGACTGAGAAATTTGGAAACAGAGAAAGCCATTAGTCAGTACTTGCATGGTTCGCCACATTCTGATTTTTACTTCATACTGATACTTCATACTTTACTGATAAGTCCATCCCCTCAGGGAACAGTTTCCAAGAGAATCGTGTTTTGAAATTGTTTAGTTCCACGGGAGCGGGAAAATAACGAAAGTGGAAAAATTGATTTCGCACAAACACAAGTAATAAGAGGCCATAATGGAAAATGCTGATGTCTGAAGGAGATGTGCCACGTTGTAGGTGTGAGAATCAAAACACATCCTTAAAATACATTAGAAATTTCCTAACAGCATGCAGGGCTGAAGGCATGTCCATTGCGTGTTTCTTTCCCCGCAAGGGAAACAAACTCGCTCATAAGGAGATTATATACGAATTTGCCTGGATTTTGATAACTCACTTGACTTGTATTGGTTTCCATACTCGATGGCTCTTTGTGAAGCGTCGAAATTGCAGAATGACACATCGCAATACTCCCAATTCAGTTTGGGCTTTCCAGGAACTTTGATATTGCACCAAGGACCACCTGGGTTCCCATTCGAGTTCCGGCAGAAATTGTGACTACTAGTGAGTTCATCTGAGAATGATCCTTTACGGAGCCCACGGATCCGGTCCACATCACTGCTGTCTTGATCAAGCCATGGAATGCAATCGAAGCCAGAGATGGTCTTGTCCTTCACGCCTACGTACTCCCCTCCCTTCTGGCTCAACTTGCATTCTGGCACGCCTGCACGTGCAAACACAGGCTGGACCATCAATTTCGGAATACGCATACCATCTACGTATAATTATTATAATTGTAACTAAAGTGGTTCATGAACCATTTAATGTAGTTCCACAAAATAACATAAAAACAAGGATTTCAAATTTTCAAAAAATATTTTTTCCAAACTATCATACTCTCGTTATTTGCATGTTTCCCACATGAGCTCGGGGAAGAAAGAGAGGAAAATTAAAGGTTTACATATTGCATCAGTCGAATCGTGGATACCCTGGAATAAAATGCTAACGCTAATTTTTATTTTCAATAAAGAGTTACTAGCGGCCTGCGGCCGCTAAGCTGGCCGTCTAATAGGTATAAATTTGAATCACCTATTGTGAGCATAACGTCTCCTTCACAATCCTCTGTTAATCACATTACCCATTCGGAACTGAACCGCTTCATTACATTTATACACATATAGGTTACAGTAAACAGGGAGATCCTGTTCCTAAACGCCATCAACATGATATTCCAGCTGATTGCCACAATCGCCATTGCGGTTTACCACGTTTTCATGAGACGACTTTGCTGAATATTGAATGTATTGAATGTATTGAATGTATCAAGAGTATTGAATGTGCTATTCCTAGCACATTCAATACTCTTGCATCAACGATTAGCTCATGTGCTATTTGCGTTAGCATACACCAGTTTGGAGACACCAATGATTTTGAAACAAGACGGACCGTTTCCAAAAAAAAATTGTTCTACGGCACACAGGGAAGTTAGTTCACGAGCGGCACGATGCTAAGGACTAATTCCTGAAAATGCTAAACTTCCATCAAGTTGCTTAGTAGGGTGCACCGAGACTTTTTAGACACTTACTTTATCTTCATAAATGATGAGAACTCAAATAAATCGGCCATGACATGAAACGCAAACAGAAAAACTAAAAATTGCATGGAAGCGATGGCGCGAACCGCCACGTCTGACCTAACGGAAAAAAAATAAATACAGAAAATATATCCTTCAGGAAATAATGTATTCAAATGAAGAACTTGCAGTCGATCAGTGAAAACGTGACACGCATTCAGTTCGTAGCACCCTTTGCTTGACATAGATGAGTATGAAGCCTATGGCTCAGACTGATATAGCCAGATGGACCTGGCGCTAAGTGCGTTGGATGGCCAGGCCTTTGGCCTAGAATAGCATAGCCTAATGGACCTGGCGCTTTGAGCGATGGAATGGAGTAGCTCATGGCCTGAAATGATCTAGTCTCGTAGGCCTCGCGCGTTGCGGTGGCAGCCACCACCACAAGTTCTTCCCAGCGCATTCAATACTCTTGCATCACCGATTAACTTATGGGTTATTAGCATTAGCTTATGGTACAGGTACCACTGATTCGGAAACAGTACGGGCCGTTTCGAATAATTTGTTCGACTTCAGCACAGAGGGAATTTAGCGCATGTGCAACAGAATACTAACGAATAGTTCCTGAAAATGCCTCGCCTCCACATTAGCACCAGTGAACAACAGTGTGAGCGTTAAGTGTGAGTTGCCGCAGAAGCACTTTTCCGTTGTGGCAGTAATGTGAAACAAATGTCCCTTCCCTACAGCAAAATGTACAGCCTGACAGTGTTCGCTGCACAAATGACTGTAGTGATTTGAGATGACATGGAGAGGCCTCACAAAATGTCCTGAGTTCCGTGGTGTAGTGGTAGCACACCTGACTGGCAAGTAAGAGGTCCGGTTTCGATTCCCGGCTGCCCACCGACTTTCTACACCGGAGTGCTGCGTTCCTTGCATCAAGTTGCCCAGTAGGCTGCATGGCTCTCCTATTCCTGAGCTCAGTATTCGCTCCATTTTGCCGTTCAACCTTACGCTCCCTACGTTCAACTGGTTACAGTTCATCAGTCATTCTAGCCATTATTGTTAGCACCTCCTAAAGAATCGATTTAGGCACTTCGCACCGTCATTATTTTGACTTCATCAATCATGAGAACTCAAATAAATCGACCATGACATGAAAGGCAAGCAGACAAATATTGTAAGGGAGTCGAAAAGAAAGCTAAAAGAAAGTTCATTTCATCCTCTTTCTAAAAATATATGGTTTTAAGTTCCTACATTCATTTGGAGATGAGTCATGGCCGTTTGAAAAAAAAAACATACCGAAAAAAAAGCTGCCAAAACGAACCTATACCGTGCCGCCCATAGAAATCATCCTCAGTAGCTGGCTTCAAGGTCGCGCGCGCCGTCGTTTTCTTCCTTCCTAATTGCTCCCTACCTTCTTTCCCTTCTTCATAATGCGAAGGATGAAAATTTGAAGACTTTGATGCTTGATTTGGATAACCGACCAACAGAAGATCGTGACAAAAGTTAAACGGCCTCCGGTGGTCTACTCCGCGCGTTGTGGTGAGTGCTCGTCTTTGCAGTGTTAATATTTTTAAAATTTGCCTTTTTTTAAACTCTTATTCAGAAACCCTTACAGGGAAAATTGGTTACAGCGTCAATGTTTTCTGGCGTTCTTGCTCTTCTGGGACAGCCTGTGACTGGAAGACGTGCAACACTGCCAGATTCACGCCGTTTTCGCAAGATATAATAGACAGTCTTTTTTTCCATTTTTGAACCGGATATTCACGCAAGATTTGGTTCAATGTAAATCCTTTTTCTTCACTAAGCGACCGGATTAAAACTCTATCACTCTCAGTTAGAACACGGTTTGTACCCATTTTCCCTGTAAGGATTTCTGAATAAGAGGTAAAAAAAAGGTAAATAAAAAAAAATTAACACTGCAAAGACGAGCACTCAGCACAACGCGTGGAGTGGACCACCGGAGGTCGTTTAACTTTTGTCACGATCTCCTGCTGGTCGGTTATCCATATCAAGCATCAAAGTCTTCAAATTTTCATCCTTCACATTATGAAGAAGGGAAAGAAGGTAGGGAGCAATTAGGAAGGAAGAAAACACTGTAAGGGTTTCTGAATAAGAGGTAAAAAAAAGGTAAATTAAAAAAAATTAACACTGCAAAGACAAGCACTCAGCACAACGCGCGGAGTGGACCACCGGAGGCCGTTTAACTTTTGTCACGATCTTCTGCTGGTCGGTTATCCAAATCAAGCATCAAAGTATTCAAATTTTCATCCTTCACATTATGAAGAAGGGAGGGAGCAATTAGGAAGGATGAAAACGACGGCGCGCGCGACCTTGAAGACAGCTGCTGAGGATGATTTCCGTGGGCGGCACGTATAGGTTCGTTTTGGCAACTTTTTTTTTCGGTATGTTTTTTCAAACGGCCTTGACTCATCTCCAAATGGACGTTGGAACCTGAAACCATACATTTCCAGAAAGAGCATGAAATAAATTTTCTTTTAATATTTTTTTCGACTCTGTAACCCAAACCGTTCAGGAGATATTCATAGGGGCAAAAACTTTTGACCCACCCTGTATATGAAAAGGTAAATAGGGGTACGTTAATCGTCATTGCGAATGTCGGGGAACTTACGCCGAGGGAAGACAAAGGGCAACCCAAAGATCAAGGCATTCCCTTAAATAGGATAGGACAGCAAAACGTCGAGGGCGTCGTAACCATACGGTTTCTCCATCCCTGCAACGGGTTGCGATATTAGTAGCATGAGACCGCCAATAAAAGCTCACATACCACATGTTCCCCGTCATTCGCAATGAGGATAACGATGCAGCAGTACTTTCAGGGAACGTATCTCGAAAGTCTAACTTCACATGCAGTAAAAACACAAGTTATTTATTTTCCTTCCAGCCTCCTCGAAAGAGAAAATATATGAGAGTGGTTTTCGCATGAGCGCTCTTCAGTGGGTTATGACTAGGAAAAAAGAAATCAATCCTCCCAAGGCTTATGGTGAAATCAAGGCTTACGATGTCAGTCACACGGAAATTTGCCCTAAGGCCATGTATCTTGAAAAACAAATAATCGTAAATACATCTGGTGGCCAAAAAGGGACCCAGTCGTTTTTGACGTTCCTCAAGGCTCGGTCTTTGGACCGCTTCTGTTTTTGGTCTACATAAAGGATTTGGATCTCAGCGTAGAGGGTAAGAAAAGTAAATTTGCCGACGACATCAATATAGGTTTTACCATAAGGGGGGAGGCGGATAGGGCTAGAGCCTAGCGAGATTTAAGTCTTTTGGACGAGTGGAGCAAGAAAATTCATCCTTCACATTATGAAGAAGGGAAAGACGGTAGGGAGCAATTAGGAAGGAAGAAAACGACTTTGCACGCGACCTTGAAGCCAGCTGCTGAGGATGATTTCCGTGGGCGGCACAGTATAGGTTCGTTTTAGCAACTTTTTTTCCGGTATGTTTTTTTCAAACGGCCGTGACTCATCTCCAAATGAATGTAGGAACCAAAAGCCATACATTTTCAGGAATAGCATGAAATGAACTTTCTTTCAGTTTTTTTGTTCGACTCTGTAACCCAAACCGCTCAAGAGACATTCACATTTTTATACAGGGGCAACAACTTTTGGCCCACCCTGTTTATCTGTGAAAAAATATCCCTTCGCATTGGGTGCCCCAGGGAATGTACTTCCAACGTCCTCCCCACATTCCCGGAGTCCAGAATAATGAAATAGATCAGATGATAATTTCTCACTGAAATCACCGCAGTGATGAATCCGGCAGAACTCCATCTTCACGCCATTATCGTCCACAAAGCACCACGGCCTATCCAACCCTGTCGGGTTTCGGCAGAAGTTTTTGTGCAAGGATGGGTCCTGGTTTATGAAGTGCTCCTCGTAGAACAAGACTCTATTGAATCCTGCATCAATGTCTTCATAGGAAGAAGTCACATTTTTGGAATCCCACATGAGGCATGATTTTCCAGTCTCTGTCATGTTCGTAGATCCGATGTACTCCATCCCTTTCTCCGATAGTCGGCACTCAGGATAAACAGCCGCTAATATGAGAATGACCATCAAATACTGAAAACGATGATTAAAAGCTTTGGTTATCCATTAGATTGGCGTTTATTAAATGCATGGATGTTGGACTGTCATCATCGCATAGTCTCGTGCAAAGGATTAACAACAAAAAATGATTCGATTGTGTGATCGCCGTAAAATTATTCTCAGCTAAAATTTTGATTATAATGCCCAATGCACGTGAGGCCAACTGAACTTCAGAAAGCCTTACCTTAGGCAAGCATCATCCCTTTCATCTGCCCACATGCATCATAAGGATATCACCTATTCCTCATGTGTAAGCCATATTACGAATATGTGTCGACTATGGAAATTTAAAAAGATATGTCTTCTATGAAGCAACGACTGATCAAACTTCTCTAGAGAAAACTGATTCTATACATTGAAAAAAAATTTCCCCGCCAGAAACTCCTGAGGGCACGTAAAAGAACACCGGGATGCTTTTTTTTTTTACCCTGTTCAAGTGTTTCCAATTCCCGATATGTGCTCTCCCATGCGTTAATGTGTGCAAGGTCCTTGAATGTGTTCTCATCTGAAGGACAAGTTTAGAAACACTTGGAGTCAGAAGGCAAGGACTCCTGGGAACACATGGCGGCAAATGGGGACGCCTCGCTCAGATCGTGAGAGCCATTATGCGTTAAATAAGGCCTTTCTACAAGTTTCATTCGTTCCCTAATTTTCACTGGAATCTCTCAACTTGAAAGCGGTCATTATATATTGGGAATAGAGAAAAATTGTAAACACTTTCGAAAGTTGTTCGTGCTTCCCATTATACTTGGGCCTATGGCCCAAGTATAATGGTATAAACAGTGGCAGGAAGTACATAATGGCGCCACATTCTCAGTGCCTGATTTTCTAAGTGTGCTCTAACCTGCAGCTTTGTTGTTTATCGGTGTATAGTCGCAACATCCGTCGAAGTCGCTTACAAGCTATGAATGAGGCCCATCTCTTGCAAATTTGTGACATGATAGCATGATCTAGAAAGGCCTGTTGTTGACTACATTGGTATTATGATAAATGGTGGACCTGGTCTGGTTAGCCTGGACTTGATTATACAGAAGCCAATCACCCCCACATAGAGAAGTCAGTGACGCTTATGCATCGAGCTCAAAATCCTTTTCCAAATTACTCTCAAATATGGTTTTAATACCACAAGAGACATGCCTGAAAGCCTGTAGTGTTTCCGGTATGGTAATGTATGGTGACATCCTGTTAAGGAGGGGAGAAAGACCAGATCTGCAATGGCTTAGTCATCAATAATGGTCACAAGCCAATCAAGCTAGCACTGTTAAGAATGTGTTTAGTAAACTGTGAGGAAACTGTGAAGAAACTGTTGTGTATAACTTACCTGTGGCATAAATCAGGTTCATGGTAACTTACAAATCTAATTTCAACATCAGTGATTTTAAATGATAATAGCTGGACATATGGTGCTGGGCAGGTGTGTGTCATGAAGAATGGATGGATCTCAGCTCAAGTAGATGAAGGTCATTATTTACATAATTGTAAGCATAATTTACAGCTCTAACTTGCACAATCATTGGTCATATTCTTATTAAGGTGAAATAAATGTAGCAGTCCCATGAGACCTAAAGGCATCAACTGCTCCATTTTAGAAAACTTGGTGCTTTCACATTTTCTCCATATGTTGCAGCCCTCTATTCCCTCTTTTACCATTACGTTCATAGGCCTTATTTTGGTTTCGAGTATGGCATGCTGCATGCAGGCTTTTCTGTGCAACATTACTTCCCTGATGTATCAGGACCTGACTAGCAATCTTTTTCTGCCAAAATATCCACCCATTTTACTTGAAGGTCACACG